ACCAGTTTGTACAGGGATACCCAACTCCCTTCTTTATAGTCAAGTCCACGACTAGCGACAAGCACCTCAAACTGAACCGAGTCGACCTGCCTGAACTCTGAAGAGGTACCATTCTGTGGTCCTGCACGCCCCTTCCCTGGAACCATTCCCAGTCAATGAATGTTCTTAGCCAACCAGCATGCGTGTCTTCTATACTCATGGCGTCATTAGGAATCGGAACGTGACATTCTCCCCCACCCAAATCCTGCGACGCCCTCGTCGCAGTGCGGCGCTGACTCCGCTGCGTCCAACATTCCAAAGTCTCTCTCCTCCAAGTGGTATGCTTGCCTGCCCACCATCGCTTCCTTGTACAATCCCTGGCTGCACTAGCCCAATGATAAGGTTTCGGGCTAAAGGGACGCCCACTTCTTCGGGACGCAACCCCACGTTATGCCGCCTCCGCGACACCCCGAGCAAACAAGGGCCCTCCGGCTGACTTGATACCCGCCCTTCACAACGGTTTGCATGCCTCTTGAATTTGCAAGAACTTTGGTACACGCGGCCCTCCGGCTTCAAAGGACGCCTCTTCATGGGGAGATGGAGGCTCTCCTCCAACAGCATTGATTGCCCACCGACGCTTTAGTGCACCCACTTCATTCTCGAGATCCCCGGATAGACAAGGGGGCACACCTTTGTGCTTTTCCCCAAGTCCTACTCTGATACCATTTGTCACGGGCCTGGAGATTTGGCGCAGCAGCACGGCCCGTGCGGCACCAAGGCGTTGCTTCAGCTCGCGCAAGCGCCCTGGTCAGCCACCATAACCTGCCCTCCCAAGGATACATGCTGACTGGTTTCGGCCTGCCATGGCCTCGTCAGGGGAATGGCTCCAGCTCCAGACCAGTTTGTGCAGGGATGGCCAACTCCCTTCTTCATAGTCAAGTCCACGACTAGCGACAAACACCTCGAACTGAACCGAATCAACCTGCCTGAACTCTGAAGAGGTACCATCCTGTGGTCCTGCACGCCCCTTCCCTAGAACCATTCCCAATCAATGAATGTTCTTAGCCAACCAGCATGTGTGTCCTCTATGCTCATGGCGTCGTTAGGAATCGGAACGTGACATTCACCCCCACCCAAATCCTGCGACGCCCTCGTCGCAATGCGGCGTTGACTCCGCTGCGTCCAACATTCCAAAGTCTCTCTCCTCCAAGTGGAATGCTCGCCTGCCTACCATCGCTTCCTTATACAACCCCTGGCTGCACTCGCCCAATGATAGGGTTTCGGGCTAAAGGGACGCCCACTTCTTCGGGACGCAACCCCACGTTATGCCGCCTCAGCGACACCCCGAGCAAACAAGGGCCCTCCGACTGACTTGATACCCACCCTTCACAACGGTTTGCATGCCTCTTGAATTTGCAAGAACATTGGTGTGCGCGGCCCTCCGGCTTCAAAGGACGCCTCTTCATGGGGAGATGGAGGCTCTCCTCCAATAGCATTGATTACCTACCGACGCTTTAGTGCACCCACTTTATTCTCAAGACCCCCGGATCGACAAGGGGGCACACCTTTATGCTTTTTCCCAAGTCCTGCTCTGATACCATTTGTCACGGGCCTAGAGATTTGGCGCAGCGGCACGGCCCGTGCGGCACCAAGGCGTTGCTTTAGCTCGCGCAAGCGCCCTGGTCAGCCACCACAACCTGCCCTCCTAAGGATACATGATGACTGGTTTCGACCTGCCTTGGTCTCATCAGGGAAATGGCTCCAGCTCCCAACCAGTTTGTGTAGGGATGGCCAACTCCCTTCTTCATAGTCAAGTCCACGACTAGCGAAAAGCACCTCGAACTGAACCCAGTCGACCTGCTTGAACTCTGAAGAGGTACCATCATGTGATCCTGCACACCCCTTCCCTGAAACCATTCCCAGTCAATGAATGTTCTTAGCCAACCAGCATGCGTGTCTTCTCTGCTCATGGCATCGTTAGGAATCGGAATATGACACATTGCTTATCGTGCCGGTTAAGCTAGGATTTTTTCGTCCAACAACCCAAATTGCACCCTTATTTCTCCTCGTCAAATGGGAGAGGAGGTTCAAGTTCCAAAAAGAGTACTTATGGAATGTGTGAGTGTTTTTACCCATTTAAAATATATATATAAAATCTTGGATATAAAACAATTACCTTTCAGTGTGTGTGTGTGGCTCCAATAATCCAATTTATGGACATGAACATGAACATGTATGGATGCATCAAGCCAGTTTTGAGCAGTGTAAATGGTGGAGTCTCTGCATCCCCAAAGAAACTTTGCTAAATCATGTATATGCCATCTTGATACTATATTCTGAATAAAAAATAAACTTAAATTTTTTCATAGGCCAAATAATGGATCATGTAACTGGAATTGTTTGGTCCATGGTTTTAATAAAACGTGTTTTTTTTGCCACATGAATTAGTCCTAAGACTTCCTCGTCATGTAATTAATTATATATATACACAAAGGAACTTGCATTTATCTGTTTGATTCTTTTTTTTTTTTTTTTTTTTAAACGGTTCTAATAACAGTTAAAAACTTAAAATAGAAACCAAAAAATTGTTGTCAATAATTAGTTATTTTTATAACATAACATAGTCTCATAATCTCATTACCACACACAACAACTAAAAAAAAAACCTAATAGACTTATACTTAAACCTAAAGGAAGCAAATTTTATAAGTTTGACATATATACAAAGAAATTTATTATATTGATCTCAAAAATATATGATTCACTAGATAATAGGTACCATTATTACCATATACATACTATATATATATATATTCACGTAAAAAGTTTGAAAATGAGCTTAAAAACAACTGCACACATAGATATTCATATATACACATACATAAGTGATAGGGGCATGTCTTTCTTTAGAAACAATTCCATCTATTTACGAAACTTGTGAGTGCGGTGCTGTCAAGTCACATTCCCACAGAGAGGTGGGTCGTTGGTACTGCAAAAGGCGAAAACCGCGCCGACTCTCAGCAACATGTTATAACAATAACATACTATTGCCGATGACCCCTCGATAAAGACTCCGATTAGATTGAGGAGAGTTTACAACTAACAATTGAATTTTGTTCACCACTCCATTCATTCGTATTCAATAAGAATTCGAATATCAGATAAAAGTAGAATCTATCTCAACCCCGTTTTAAGGTGTTCATATCAACAATTGCTACATGGATCAATCTGTAATAAAAATCAATTTTCATGCTAAATGCACTTTGAGAAGTTAGGAATTTCAATATTCACAATTTACAAAGTCTATTTCAATTTCATGTATATGCCATGAAATTAACGTGACAACATCTACAAACAATTAAATGATAAAACTCTCCAACATAAATACTTGTTAATGTTAATAATTTATTCAGGTTCTCATACCATACTCGTGTTAGTGATCACAATTATTCATTCCGAAATTAGGTATTATGTACTACGTATTGTAAAAAGTAATAAATATTAAATACGAATACAACATAATATTTCAGATAAAAATGAGCCAAACACTGACACATTTCACAGCCGGCATGCAACGATCCTTCTCACATGGTGATCAGACGGTGGTTGTTTAGGTGACGTAGGAAGTGGTGGCTTTTGGCGATGTACCACCACAGTAGAATTGTCCCTCCAAAAACACACACACTTGCACACGCATCAAATTAATACAAGTGCCGCCCACTTGTGACGAGCCCAAACAAAAAATGAACTGATACCAAGCTGATTAAAAAACAGGGTGGACCTGACACTACTAGGTGTTGAGAAGTATTTTACATCAAAGCCAACGGAGGAGGCAGTGGACTCCACCACCCACTATGTATCCCTCCCACCTCCATTGATTTTTATCCCACCTTCAACACCTACTAATAAGGTCACTTAAAATCTTCATATTGTCCCATCCCTCTCTACATTTTCGTCACCCATGTGCAATGCACTCCATAAAGTTTCTGATTTAAGAAGAAGCACGGATACTAATACAAAAAAAACGTCAATTCAAAATATATATATTATTCAACACGATTAGTCAGTGTCAGTGTCTCAAAAGATCGAGGTGCGTGGTCACCATTCTTCACAGTTCTTGTGAAATACCCAAGTGTTCGGTGTCTCCAAATTTTTAGTTTTCATAAAATAAAAATAAATAATAGTAATAAAATATGAATACATATATTAAGTTATAAATACTAAGTTATAAAATGTGAATACATCGAAAGATTAGTTAATATGAAACTGATAAACTTTAGAATTTATTAAGTTATATTTGGAATATTAAATATGTGCCATTAATTTAGAATTAAAAAATTAGTTGAAATTTTGAAAATTTTGTGTAATTCTAAATTTAATGTGCGGTACTTAAAAAAAATTAAAATAACATAACTTTAAACGAGTGAAAAAGCTGAATTGGTGTTATTAATGAAAAGCTATCCAAAAGCCTGAACATTGCAACTATTGATGGCAGAAAAAATCTACAGAATTTAGGTAGCAAAAGAGCTCTATGAAGCCTTAGCTGGCAAACAACTTCCATGATTGTTCTCCCATCACACAACTTGTTTATCGGATGGGCCAACTATGGGCTTTCCTATTGGGCCTCCTTTTCTAGTAATGTCTTCTTCTAACTAGGCTTCAAATTTAGCACTGTTTTGATCTCTGGACCTATATGGCCTAGTTCCCTATTGTATTATTATTATTATTTTTATTTTTATTTTTTTTTTTTCACACACACGTGCTTTACTTATGGGGAAAAAAAAATGTAAAAAGTAAAATTTTTTTTTTGAATTTTTAATATTATAAAGACACGTGATCAAATGATATCATTACACATCAACTCTTAAGGAAAAGGTCCTCCACTAACTATATATAGCTACAAATATATATATATGTGTGTGTGTGAGAGATAAAAAGATTTTGAATAGTTATAAATACTAAATAGCAGTTATATACATATAAATACATAATAATAAATATTAGTTAATATGAGACTGATATAGAAAAACATGAGGATTGGGGGACCATAAACACCCATACCCTTAATTTCCATTATAATAATATAAAGAGAGAACGTGGTCACCTGATAGCATGTGATGGGGATGGGTTGGTTTTTAAAATTTTTATTTTTATTTTTTTCATTTACATTTTTTTCTTTTATTATTGAATTTTCTTATTTTTATTTTGTTTTATTTTATTTATTTTCCGTTATACATAGGTGTAAGTACCCCACTGCGCACTCACACGTAAAGCAGGCATTATTTGGGTAAAATGCGCCTTGTGTGAGTGAAGTGAACTCTACTCACCCCTCCCCCATCTATAAAGCAGGTAACACAGATTACACATGCTATTGTGGTCCATGAGAATCCGTATGGCCATTCATGGTTGTTCCATCTCTCTCTATCTCTCTCACACACACAAACACACACTAATGAACAACTATCTCTTCTAGTGAATGAAAGATAAGGAGTGTGATGAGATGTGAGGTGATAAAGAATTTCGCGAGTCCTGTCATGCTTTTCCACAGCTTTCTTGAACTTCAACTACTGCTTTAATCTGTTTGGATCAACCATGGAAGTTCAAGAAAGCTGTGGGAAAACATGGCAATTCAGGATTTCACCGCGCTCCCGCTCTCTCCTCCATTTCAATCCGGCATGCCACGATGAATTGATGCAGTAATGTGATAATGCTTTATCTCCATGCATGCATGGTAATTCTGGTAACTGTTTATATAATTCAAACCTATTTTGAATATATTTTTTTTAATCATAATATATATTCATTATTATTATTTTTTTTTTAGAAAAGAAGGGTTAATTGTTGAATTATGATATGGGACTCAAGCTTTAATCATTTTCATGTTAGATTCTCGTAGATTTATTGAACAACATAAATTGAAGAATAATTTCAAGAATTTATTTATTTTTATTATTTTTTTTCTAAATTATTAAAAAAACAGTATATACTGGAAGTGTGTGTGTATAATTTTCCTATATATACTTACATTTTCTGAGCATTCAGTGAAAGTGGTGAAATCTGAGTTACGTTTGCAGAGAAGATTCCCCACATTTCCCTCTTTATCAACAATAATTGATAGTTCACCATGTTTGCCTTTTGTTTTCACTTCCTTGTGATCTCCTACATTTCTGTGAAAAGGTTAAACTTTGTCACTATGTGAAAATCATTTTCAATATTTTTTTTTTTACCCCTCTCTCTCACACAACACGCACAAACACACACACACACACACACACAATTAATTCATAGCTATCTCAAAATTAAGGTTACTGCATTCTCAAAGCAGACATTTACAGCTGCAATATTTCATATTTGTTTGATATGCCTAAAGGTAACAAATTAGGTTTGTCCTTTTTCATAAATGACCTGTTAGTACCCCCATATTACAGCTGTTACAGGTCAGAATGGTGTTTAGGATTCTGCATTTGTACTTTCTTTTCAGCGACAGTATTATTTAATCAATGTCCTTGACTTATATGTGATAGTTTTTATAATATTCTCAATATAAATTTGAATGCTTAATTGTAATTGCTATTTATTCGCTAACAATTATATGATTAGTAAAAAAAAATAAATTACATGATGATAATATACACTCTAATTTGCTTAGGATATGCTGCTTAATTCCATACTTTTTTTTCTTTTTTTTTTTCTCTTCACATATTCACTTTTGATTGTTTTTCTCTGGCTCCCTTGATGATCCTTGTTCAAATTTATACGTTTCTTGACATATTTAAGACGAACTATTGAATTGTATTTACCGGGAAAAAAAAATTTTGAATTGCAATTTCTTTTTTTTTTTTGTTTAGTGCTCAGTATTACCAAAATTTTCTGTTGCAGTTTTTGGCAGATAACAATCAAATGTATATATACCCTGTTAAATTAATACTATTGCTTTTGATTCTCTTCGAAAAGTAGTAAACTCAATCGGTGAATTTTAGCATGCATTCATCTTCTTTGGTAACGTTATTAATCCTAGTCATCATAAAATTTAAACTGTCTGCAACTTTCAGTACTCTAGCCAGAAATCGAAGTTGAACATCAGGCCAAAAAAAACCATGTTTTGGAGCACCAAAGCCCATTCTACAAACGACCTAGACACCTTGTGTGGTGGGAGGCCCTAGCCTGGATCGAACGATACTATAACTATCTACCGGTCTTTATATGTCCAAGACCCTGTTGTGTTTATTCAATATGAACCAAGAACCCGTGCAAATAGTCCTGTATACCATAAAAGGAGATGTTAATACAAAGAATACAAATGCTCAAATTAAGTTTAGTGAATGCATGTTGTGATCATGGTTCGCTGCATCGGCCGGTTCGTATCGTTGGATTGGTTTATATTGATATTCGTCAAAATCCTTTATATCACGACCAATGCTGTGACTGCAAACCATGACTGTGATAGATTGTGGCTATTTGAATTATATAATTGGTTGATGTTTTGGGAGTAGCACTCATTTTTTTTAATAGCTAATGTATAAATAATTTCATTTGTTTTCAAGACCAAGCAATTTTGAGATGACAAATTGCAATAATTAAATTGTTGACTAGTATACTACTAGAAAATAAAAAATGGATCAGAGGATGGCTGCTTCATTGGATCCGAATAATTCAAACCCATCACTCTCCTTGTGGGGAAACAAGCCATTTATTCTCTGTTTTTCATGGCACATCAATGTCGGGCCAACATCGGTACTGAAATTGTTGCATTAAAAATTAACTAAAATGTATCCAAACATGAGGTGTATAACTACTTTTGTTGTTGTAATATCATTCCTAAATGTGCATGTAACCGACATTCTGATAAATCTCTAGTTCATGTATAAAATCTGTAGTCAATTTACCCAAGTGTTTGACCAAGCCTGAATTTTTTTTTTTTTTTTTTCACTTACCAGTTCATTTCTCAAGTTTTCCACACCTTAGATTTGTTTTGTGTTTTTTTAAAAAAAAAAAAATTCAATTTGTCACATTAGCCTTGCATGATTAATTAATGAGTTTGGGTTGAACAATTTAAAATTATTGTGTAAAAAAAAAAAAAAAAAACAGATTCATTCATCCTTAATTATCACACATAATAGGTAAATTCTAAATAATATTATTTAGAATTTCGAGACTTAATCGCTCACCAACTCCAACCGACTAATGTTATTCAGTTGTGCAATTCATGACTTGATCAGCATCCGCCGTGGCTAAAATAACACTGTGGGTGTATTTTTGTAGGGTACATGTAGAATAATGTGGCATTCCAACTGAAATCAGTGAGCCTCAGCTGTCACAATTCAAATTATCAACTCCACAAAGGTAGCTGCTACTGATGAGAGAAAAGTCATGCATTTATGAAAATATAAATGACTGAATCAACAATTCAGAATTTAACAATTTTGGGTATCGGAAATTAATGTTCTACACATACACACAAGAGTACACACGTGATCAGTAGAACAACTTTTCGGTTCACAAGTACCTTAATTAAGTTAATGTTTGCCTGAATATGTGAACTTAACCTCAATATACTTGAATTAAACTTCATTTATCATACTTACTGAGGGTTAAAAAAAATTACTGATCATGGAAAGGGTATTGATCGAAAGAGAACTTTGGTAATGCATATACATATATATATATATACATATATATATGCAGACATTATGGTTATGCATGCATGAGAGAGAGAGAGAGAGAGTGAGAGAGATCGAGTAGTATGGCTTGACATTGTTTTGCCTCAAACTTTCAACAGTGCAACACATGATATCATGAACAAAACGACATTAACAGTACTGCTAAGACAACAAAATCATGAACAAGATTGTTTTTTGACGCATTCAAACTTCTTTTACTTCCTCGACCACTTGATTTTCAATTCTACCAAATACCTTCAAATTAAAGCACAAAGATGTCCAATCCATGCCATTTTCAATCCTTTCTTTTTACCCAAAAGTAAAAACTATCAAACAAGTCCCAACTACTTTTTGACTTGGATGAGTGGTTGATGCTTCATAATTTATTTAATTAAATCGCATATTCTGATCCCCTATGCTTAACTTTAAACCTACACAGCTTATCTTAAGTAAAGCATATAAAAAAGAGAGTTTTCAGAGAATATAATTCACTATAAACTATAATCGATCAAGGAATCTTACAGCAAAGAGAAGATTGGTGATCGAATAGAATATGGTTTATAATTAATAATGGGCTTAAAGGAAGATGAATTTGGACACCAACCGGTCGTGATATCATCATAAAAACAAATGAGATATATGGCCCATTGATTGGATGGATTCAGATGAGCATGATCAGAGATTATATATTCAAGCACTGAGACCTCTGTAAATCCAGCCTTTTCTTTCCTAAGCAAACTAGCTATATGATGAATTATGTCACCTCATCAGTCATGACTTGATGATCGAATATATACTGGAATCAGACAGAAAAAAAAAAGTGTACAGGAATATCAGTTTTTTGGCATATTAACACATTTGGACACAATGGTCTAGTCCTGGTTCTTAACTAATTTGAGACCATGCAATATATACATGTACAAAATAAAAGATTTGTTGCTTATACAATCCAAAGAGAAGGCAGCAACACAAGGACTGATTGTTAATTTGTAATACATCACAACCATAACAAGACAAAACAATATGATGCCTTCACCTTAGTGGTGATCAAAAACCCTATTTTCTTTAACTAGCAGGACACGAAACTCCCGCCATTGCAGGGTTTGAGAAAAGTCCCTTATCTTCGCATGGAAAGGTTGTTTTCGGAGTCCAGGTCACAATAGAGCAACTCACCCTCGATCAACTAACTTAAAAAGTAATAATAAATAATTGAAAAGAATATTGCAGTGAAGAACTTGGTTGACCTTATATTAATGTTATATTCTCGTTTCATAAAAAGCTTACCTAACTTGAACTTATATTTCACATTAATGGCTTTTTTTGAATTTGAATGAAATAATAAGTTTTGTGGGACTTGGGAGACTGGGAGTTTCCGAATGAGAGAAGGCAATGCAAAACCTTGTGGTCCATTTAACATTCAATAAATGGAAATAGTTCATTTTATTTTGTGCCTGCACAAAATTCTTGATATTCATGACTTATACAGGATATCAATCATGCTCGGACATTTATTCGATGATGATGAATTCTTCTCCTTTTAGCTACCAGTTGAAATATACTACTTAAAATAAGATGGCAGTGTTGACTGTTTCTACTTTCTCATCTAATCCATTGATACAGAAAGAAGGGTGGCATGTTATGTTGAATCTTTGAGATATTATGTATCAGTTCTCAAATTTTAGAGGAATATATGTGTGTGTGTGTGTGTGTGTGTGTGTACAAGAATGACAAGAACCTATAAATTTCTTCATCAATGATAGTTAGTCAACAAATCCTTTCAATCATTTGTGCATGTATCATGGTTCAACATAGCAAATGCACAAGGGAAAATGTAGTGTTTGTTTTCTTCCTCTTTCTTTTCACTAAGGTAAATTAATTTTAACTATCAAACTATCCTGTACAAATTGTACAAGTTCCTGTTCTTTTTTTTCTTTTTCTTTTTCTTTTTTTTTTTTTTTTTTTTTTTTTTTTTTTTGGGTGAGTACAAGTTTCTTTTTTTGGTAACCAGGAGGTATAAACCTGGTTCAAAATGTACACGAGTGTGTGTTATTATATACACACTAAAAATCTAGAGAGAGCAAACAAGTGCATTGTAGATGGCTTCTAATTAACAACATTCTTTCACATATTGCTCACAAATATACATATATTTATACATACATACATACATATATATATAAAATACAAAATTGGGTAGGTTGCTTACAAAAATTTATCTAATCATGTTTACAAACCAAGTCGAAATAAACAGTTTAGAAACAAAATTGATCACTGAGATGATATAAAGAAGATGAAAAAAAGAAAAACACCAAGATAAAACTTAATTCTCATTAATAATTATTCTGAAAAGACAAAGCAAAATTAAATGTAATTATATAACAAAACCACAAATCCTTTAAATGTAATCCTTCTCATCTATATATACTCCAAATATTACACATATATACATATATATATATATATATATATATATCAGAATCTAAAATTCTCTTGGGCTAGATTTAACTTTCTGTTACCATGAGGTCAAATAAAAATCCAGTACAGATATAACACGAATCTACCATCTGCCTAGTGTACGTACGACAAGAATCTACTGTCAAACTTACCCAAAAAAACAGAATCTACTGTCGTTATATCACAAAAACATCCACTCAAATCATTAAAAAAAAAAAACAGTGCAAAATAAGGAACACATAGAAATTACCTGCAAAGTACAGATCAACAATCCCATGCAAATAATACCAATTAAATCTGATATTAGCTGAATTTTCTTGACCCTATCAGTATCTTCCCACAGCTTTATTGAACCGCAAGGCTTGAAAACATATGCAGTTCAAGAAAGCTGTGGAAGAATACAAAGAGGACCATCTACAACTTTACAATATCACAAAAGAAAATGGATCAGAATTTCCCAACCTTTACCTCCTGGGAATATATATATATGTATATATATTTATATATGTATATATAGAGAGAGATAAGGAGAGAGAGGAGGGGGGGTGTAGGTTTAGGGGGAGGGGATAGGACTGTACTTATAGGAGAATTGAGGTCTTTTTACCACCAATCCCAAGAAGAATATTGGGCCTACTCAAACCCCACCTTTTCTTCTTACCTATTAATTTAAAAGCTGACTACGTTTGATCCCATTAACCTCTGAGTATATATAATACTGACAATATATGTAAAGACGTCGATGTATGTGCGGTTAGGATGCAAGCAGCCAGATCAGACGGTGACGGTTGCCCTGGTGGAGGGCACACCTAAGGGTCCCACCTCAAATCTGTCCATTTTCAACAGTACGCGCTTTAGCCCTACAAAACATCCAATTCTGGTCCCCCATGCAATTTTGATCCCTTCTCTTTGTTATTTTTGTGCGTTTCGCATTAGTACCATTAATTATATGATTAATGAGGTTTGAGGATTGGATTTTGGAACTACAAGAGAAAAAAAAATAATGATAATGATAGGTTCTTTTTGGTTCGATTTTCTGCTTTTTAGAAAATTAAAAAATTATATAAAAATATGTTTGATTGACCATTTCTGAAAATTTTGTTAAAAATTTATTTATTTTCAAAAAAATTATGAGTTCTCAATAACTTATTTTTTAAAAAACAATCAAGCAAGTTCCTGACTTTTTATCATGTTTGTTTCATTAATGAAATAGGAGAATTAAAGGAAAGAATAGTGGTAGCTTTTCATTGAAAAGAAAATTGATGGGAAAAAAAAATGATTATTATATTAGGTGAATAATAAGGGTAAAACAGAAATTCACTTTTTTTTTTTAATAATAGAGATAAAATAGATAATTAATGATTTTTCTATACGTTGCTTCCATTTCACCATTTTAATTAGGATGGATATACTTTTCAAAAATATAGGCATCCCTCGTAATCTTCTCTTTTTCATCCTTAATTTTGAAACAAACACAAGATTGCTTATCCCTCCATATCCTCTTATTTCTTTTGTCTCCAATTCCCACAAACCAAACAATCTGGCCTCGACCAGTTTGACTAGTTTTTCAAAATTTAGGAGAACAAACTTTTCTCTTGTTTCTCTAAATAGATCGTATGTACCATCATCTTTTAGTAGTTGTGGACAAATTATTACTATTATTAGTGAGTATTATTTTTCGGTAAGTGTAATTATGGATAACCAATGGTATAAAATATGGTTGTAGTTACGGTATCAGGGTGAATTGGTTGATTCATGAAAGTACATAATGATATCGAATTCTTAAAAAATATTACAAAGACAATGCGTCGCCGATACAATAAAATAAAAATAAAATGGTTCGACCTTGGGTTTGTAAAACAGTGTGTATACAGTATTTCTTGCCTGTTTCAAAAAATGGGGACAAATTTACTTTATTAATAAACACAAATTAATTCTTTAATGAGTTGAACATAAGGTTGTAATGTGCAGTTTGATAT